ATCATTGCTCATGTAAGATGGCACCATATCATGAGTATATTTTTAAATTGAAACTATCATTGGGCACCAAAGATGTGTATACGACGCTATGAAAGTTCGGAGAACTGGAAATTTTTCCCCCAAACTACGTACTTAGCCCACTCGACTGTCTTGGTTTTTCCACACACTCGAGTGTGCTTTTTTTACTTTCTTTTGTTTTTTGTTTTGTTTTCTATTGGCAAGTGATTATTTAGGAACTTGTAAATTTTTTCGTTTTTTCATCGTATCTCCCGAACTATTGAATTTAGAGAAAAATGTTATAAGGATTTTTTGTAGATTCTATCGAAAGGAATAATTTTGGTTCCATAACATTTTCAGATATTCTCAGTTGTTTTCGAGATATTTGGAATTATCTGAGAATAAAATTTTCAATACTTTTGTTCCATCTTCCAATCAACAAAATGAAAAAATATTTCATGGTTCAGTGGAAGTCGATGAGCTTCATCTATCGATAATCTATTTTTTTCAATATATCTTCATAGTACCCTATGGGTCGTTAAATTTTTTTTTTTCATATTTTTCACTTTATTTCCTGTACTATTGGGTTTACAGAAAAAATTATAGAAAATGATTTGTAGGGAATGTTCCAGTGGATAACATTGCACTCTTGATAATTTTCGATTTTTCCATTTGTTTTCGATATATATTGAATTAAAAGGATTTCAAATTTTGATGTTTGGGTTTTCATTTGTTTTTCCAGTTTCCGATGGATGCACGAAAAAATGATTGAATGATAATTTGTTGCGTCATCAAAGAGGCATACGGTGCATTTCTCAAATTTGGATTTAGTCTATTTGTTCACGAGATATGTCGTTTTAAAGCGAACCGTGTTTTTCGGAAAATCTCCTTGAAAAACCCACTTGGAATTTTCCGACCCTGCTCAATTTCAATAGGCTTCGTCTCTTCCTGATAGAGGTTTTTTTCACAAAAAATGAAATCGATCGGACCACTTTTGCGATTTGTAGAGTGGTTACAAGGAACTTCCGGTGAAAAATCGAAAAAACCCGGAAAAACCACCTTAGAGTTTTCCGATTTCCTTCATATTTTAATGACATAATATTGTTTTGAGTACAATAAGATGGCAAAATTTCAAGTCGATATGTCAAAGGGTTCCGGAGATATATCGATTTATGATTAACACAGAGTACAGACAGACAGACAGACAGACCACACACAAAAACCAAAGTTGCTCAAAATTCGATGGGGATCATTTTCTCCAAAGCAACTATACCTCTATCTCGCTTAGTTTCCGAGATAGCATTTTTGGCACGGCCGTAGTATACTCCACTATGTATAGCGTCGTATAACAAGTGAGGTACGTAGTTTTGAAAGGTATCAGATCAGTATAGATGAAGTTTTCATTAGGTATTAGATTAGTATAGAGGTAAGATAATTTATACGACGCTATAAAAGCAGATGATATTTTATCATTGCTCATGTGGGATGGAAGTAGAGGCTATGGCACCATATCATGAGCATATTTTTATATTGAAACTATCATTGGGCACCAAAGATGTGTATACGACGCTATGAAAGTTCAGAGAACTGGAGATTTTTTCCCACAAACTACGTACTTAGCCCACTCGACTGTCTTGGTTTTTCCACACAAACTACGTACCTAACCCACTCGACTGCCAATAGGGACTACGAAATCAAAAACAAAATTAAGTTCAAACAATGCCAACATATTTCTTCTTTGTGGGAAATCAAGACAATCGAGTGAGCTATGTACGTAGTTTATTGTCGAAAAATCAAGACAGTCGAGTGAGCTAGGTACCTAGTTGATTGGCGAAAAATAAAGACAGTTGACTGAGCTAGGTACGTAGTTTATGTGAAAAAAATCAAGACAGTCGAGTGTGCTTTTTTTTACTTTTCTTTGTTTTCTGTTTTGTTTTCTATTGGTAAGTGATTATCTGGGAACTTGTCAACTTTTTAGATTTTTCATTGTATCTCCCGAACTATTAAATTCAGAGAAAAATGTTATTTGGATTTTTTGTAGATTTTATCAAAAGGAATAATTTTGGTTCTATAACTTTTTCAGATATTTCCAGTTGTTTTCGAGATATTTGGAGTCATCTGAGAATAAAATTTTCAACACTTTTGTTCCATCTTCCAATCAACAAAATGAAAAAATATTCCATGCCTCAGTGGAGGTAGATGAGCTTCATCTATCGATAATCTATGTTTTTCAATATATCTTCATAGTACCCTATGGGTCGTTAAATTTTTTTTTTCATATTTTTCACTTTATTTCCTGTACTATTGGGTTTACAGAAAAAATTATGGAAAATGATTTGTAGGGAATGTTCCAGTGGATAACATTGCACTCTTAATAATTTTCGATTTTTCCATTTGTTTTCGATATATATTGAATTAAAAGGATTTCAAATTTTGATGTTTGGGTTTTCATTTGTTTTTCCAGTTTCCGATGGATGCACGAAAAAATGATTGAATGATAATTTGTTGCGTCATCAAAGAGGCATACGGTGCATTTCTCAAATTTGGATTTAGTCTATTTGTTCACGAGATATGTCGTTTTAAAGCGAACCGTGTTTTTCGGAAAATCTCCTTGAAAAACCCACTTGGAATTTTCCGACCCTGCTCAATTTCAATAGGCTTCGTCTCTTCCTGATAGAGGTTTTTTTCACAAAAAATGAAATCGATCGGACCACTTTTGCGATTTGTAGAGTGGTTACAAGGAACTTCCGGTGAAAAATCGAAAAAACCCGGAAAAACCACCTTAGAGTTTTCCGATTTCCTTCATATTTTAATGACATAATATTGTTTTGAGTACAATAAGATGGCAAAATTTCAAGTCGATATGTCAAAGGGTTCCGGAGATATATCGATTTATGATTAACACAGAGTACAGACAGACAGACAGACAGACCACACACAAAAACCAAAGTTGCTCAAAATTCGATGGGGATCATTTTCTCCAAAGCAACTATACCTCTATCTCGCTTAGTTTCCGAGATAGCATTTTTGGCACGGCCGTAGTATACTCCACTATGTATAGCGTCGTATAACAAGAGCAATTTCGTGTTATAGCCGTTGAAAAAAATCAATTTTTGCACTTCTCATTCACTGACCAATTACATCCAGGAAGAAAATTGCTAACATTTTTTATTCAAAATAATTCAAATATTAAGGTGCGCATCGAACACTATAAACCGAAATATCTCGAAAACGGCTTACTTTAGCGAATTCTCTCAAGTGTACCTTTTCTGCTTGCGTTTATACAGAACATTATTTCTTCAACAAAAAAATGTAAGAAACTACACTGAGAAAAAAGTTATGGTCCTTCTAAACCATAAGAAGTGCATTGGTAAGCGACCTCTTATGATCATAGTGTAAAGGTGTCCGTATTCGGGTTTCGCATCCCAAAATGCCCCCGGCCACCAATTTTTGAAGTGACGTTCAAAAATCTTCATAAATGTTGAAAATTTCGATTTTTATTTTACTTTACCACCCTGTATCTCGAAAATGGAGCAATTTCGGACTGAGGTTAGTTGCTTTAAATCGCCTTATTTCAGTTCAGAAATATGTGCTCAGATTTTGTACAGACCTTTTAGGGACATAGGTACCTATAGAGGACGCAGGAAGATTTGAAATTAATCTGAAGGAATTTGCTCAGTATGTCCGATATCTGACATTACATTCTCATTAGTCATCATGTGGTCATCATTAATCAAATCCAGATAATATTCATCATAAATGTAAATTGTCCTTCATTCATTCATTGTTCAAGCGATAAAAACAAATTGAATCATTGTATTCTCTAAAAAATATACTGCTCAACACTCGAAACGTAAAATCGAAATTTTTCAATCAATTTTGATTTATCATAACTTTCAGCTGCCTCAACCGATTCTCTATTCCCTTTCAGTTAGAATGTTGGTTTCATTGACTCTCTAACCTATGGAAATGATTTTTGCATCTTTTCGTAATGAGATTAAACAGAATGAACTGTGCAATTTTTCACAAATTTCAAAGGCTTCCGTTTGAAAGGACAATATTGAGAAGGAATATTCTCAGATGAATTATGAACATGAAAAAGGATAATATACAGTGTGACCCATTTAAGATGGAAGCACCCTTATAAAACTTTTTTTGTTAGGTAGATATTCAAAAAGTCTATTAGGACACCAAATATCATGAATAAATCTCCATTTCCAGGGCCAACTAATCTGATTTTTCAAGGTCAAAAATCTAAAAAAATTACTAGCGATTTTTTTAGAAAAAATCTGACTACACCACTGGATTTGTGACATTTTCAAATGGGTAACATGTAAATTACGTTGAAATGCGTCAATCAATAAAAAAGTTATAAAGGAATGAAATTTGAAAAATATGCCGTTTAATCAACCCACCAATTCATATTCAGGAATTTTATGAAAATTCTGTATACTCCACTGGATTCAGGATGTCTTGAAATATTACTGATCACAGTTTCATCGAAATCTGTTCAGTAATAAAAATTGATGGGTTGATTAAACGGCATATTTTTCAAATTTCATTCCTTTATAACTTTTTTATTGATTGACGCATTTCAACGTAATTTACATGTTACCCATTTGAAAATGTCACAAATCCAGTGGTGTAGTCAGATTTTTTCTAAAAAAATCGCTAGTAATTTTTTTAGATTTTTGACCTTGAAAAATCAGATTAGTTGGCCCTGGAAATGGAGATTTATTCATGATATTTGGTGTCCTAATAGACTTTTTGAATATCTACCTAACAAAAAAAAATCATTCCAATCGGTTGAAAAATGTAAGTTTTATAAGGGTGCTTCCATCTTGAATGGGTCACACTGTATATGAAGAAATAAATTGAGTATTCGCATTCTCTATGTGATGAAAATATCAACTTTTCCTCTGTTTATTCATAACAGAAAACAACTACTTTCCTTTCCTTCCCATTACTTTTTTCAACCCTGAATAATCTCGACTTGATTGCAGACCGCCCCGGGAGATGTAGAAGCCCAAACCTTCCCCGCTGCCCGCCTGCTGGTCTTCCCGTCGAGGGCGCACCGCGTCTCGACGGCGACCACCCTGTGCCTGCTGGTGACGGCGCTCGTCGTCGTCGGCGTCGGCATCGTGGGCGGCAAGGTGCTCTACGACGAGTACCTGAGCGTGTCGAGGCATCGGGCCAGGTTTGAGGGCTGGGCGCAGATTCCCATGTGAGTTTCAAGGTTTTTTTCATTCCCAGCTATATCATACAATAATTATTTTCATGTCACTTTGTTCATTCTACAACCCTTTGTGAAGAGATGAATGCACCTGAGGAATATATTTGCTTCTGGCTGATGGGACCATGTCCACAAAGCCATAAACACAACATTACTTGCTTGTGTTGTAACGTGATTAACAGATGAACAAAATTTGGAAATTTCAAAAATGACACCCGAATCACCCCCGAGCTGGTACATACAATTTAGTTTACAGGTGTCGAAAATAGTAAACCAAAATCCCTAAGGGTACTTTCATCATGTGCATCCGAGTGTGCACCACTGACATAACTACTTGTTGACCACTAGCGCTTCAAAAAAGAAGCTAGGGGATGACTGCCGACCACCTGACTCCCGACTTATATCGACAGCACACCCCAGGGAGAAATGGAGGATTTGGATACGCCAAATCAGCGCGCTAGAGCCATCTCCGTTATGTAACGACATGTTCTCCTGCTACCATTCCATTATACCAATGGTGAGGCCGTCTGATGAAACAGACTACTGGCTCTGCAGTGTCAGTGTCCGAGCAGAAACGCTGCTCACCCGCCGAGGCAGGCAAGATATCCTCCCACTTGACCCATAGTGGGATTCTTCTTCACCTCCTGTACCGTAGTCCGGTGGTGTTTTTGGAAACCGCTGTCCCCTGGAGTCCAACCCAATTGGTGAGGCACGGCCTGATGGGGCTATCCTCATCACCCCAGATACCCATTTCAACAAGATTCCTCTTGTTACGTTTGATGGGTCGCCGTCGCAAGAGGCTTCGGCCTGATTGCTACTCATTTTTGACAAGAATCCTTGGTCCCGTTGAATGAGTGATCATTCGAGGACTTTCACACGTTCCTCTACCTCAGGACCCAGCTTTGCCTACGATGCCTGGCGGTAGGATCGCTTGGGGCTGCCCCCTCCCTGGCGAACAAGGTACAGCAGAGTTCCAATTTTCGCTGAGCAAGCCCAGCTACCCATGTCGACCGGTATCCTCCAGTCCCGTTTGATGGGTACCGTTCGCGGCCATTCCCACGTACCGCTACCATGACAAGAGTGGGGACCTCAAGCTTTCAACCAGTGGTGTCTGGAGTCACCTGGGGCTACCCCCACCCCGACGCCGTGAGTACATGGTGGGCCCACGGCCGATCATGTGCATTCAGGACCTCTCATGTATCTTACTCAGAGAGTCACAAATCGAACGCACTTCAATCTGAATAACATAACAATAAATATATTCATCAACCATTAAAAGGAATACGCCAACAATCCAAACGCCAAATACGGATAGATGAACGAAATCACGAATGGTGGGGATAACAGCGGAATCATTGCCAGATAATCGATATTCTTTATACAGAGAAGTGCACAAAAAACGACCAGGACTGTAACTTTTGAATTATTCGAGATAGGGTTATGGACACTGGTGGACAGCTAGTATACCAAATTGCTCATTAATTGACCAAACAATTTTTGTTCGGTTCCGGTTCTACTGGAAACGACCCCAACTCTCGATTTTTAAATGGGGGTATTGTATTCCATAATCGGTTAGAGATTGTCGAACGAATTCATCGATATCAGGTTTGATAGGGTTATTTGAAACGATTACGCAGATATTCGCATTCTATGTTTCCATAGGCTCAATGAGTGTGACACACCCTTTTTAAAAAAATCAATATTTTTCTTAAAGTTTCCAGTGTCATTTGAAGTAGTAATGTGCTGATCTAGTCTACGCCAAAAAAGATTTTTCGTCTTAGAACCTTTGAAAATATCACCGTTTCTCATGCTAATAGTAGTGTTATTCATAGATTTCAATGAATGTTGGTGCCATCTTACAATTGAAAATAGCAGCAATCAGCTACTATTTCTTGAAAAAAACAAAGAATTCCAAACTGATAATAAATGTTTAGTGTAAAATTTTGATACTGTACATTTTCTTTATGTTGTTCATTTCACTTTTTGTTGCGTTTTTTGTTATTTTTGTTTTCTTTCCGTATTACAGGAGTCCTGGTGACGAATATGATGATTTGCTTTCGGCAGAAAGTTCCCTAACAACTGAACGCTTTTCCGATCCAGAATGGTAAGATGATTTGATGTGTGGAAAAGAGAGAGTTTGTGGGTTGCGCATCGAGCTTCATATTCGCGGTAAAAAATAATATGAACTTCAGCGATTTCCACGTACACTTTATGTCTCTCTGATTTATGATGAAAGGTCAAAACATATCTCAATCTTTGACTAAGTAGGATTACCTGTATTATACATAAGATTAAGGTTGTTGGAACGACTTCTCTATCCAATTGTCATCGATAAATGAGTCCGTATCATATGGGAAAATAGTTATTTATACACCAAGGTAGTAAAAAATATCATTATTACCCAGGGACCAAGATTATCCCAAGGCTTCAGCCGAGGGGTGTAAAGTCCCGTGGTGATGATATTCTTTACTACAAGGTGTATATTGAATTTTTTTCACCAATAGCAAAATATTTCAATCATTATATTTATATGAAACTGAAATGTGGACATATGCCACTATGAAAGCACTTCTTTTCTATTCTAATTGAAATGTAGTCAACATGACATCATATGACGAGTCGTTATATTGATAAATACCTACTAGACTCGAGTGCCATTCCTGTGAATATGGCATCAGAACACTGAATTAATTATTACAGAGGTGGCTATGTCTTTATTGACTAGTAGTTCATATAACGAAAACTACCTTGGTAGTAAAAACAGACTTTACGCCTTCAAGAGAAGTCAATAATAGGTAGGTTCTATAGGTAGTGGTGGAAAAAAGTTTATTTTTAGAGTATTGTTGACTTTTTTCTCGGGGATCTATAAAACATGTCCGATAACTTTACCACAATTATTATTCGAGGTAATTGAAAATATTTTGCTTTTTTTCGTGAATATTTTTTGATCTAACAATGCTCTATTTTTGTCTCCTGAATAGTTTGACGTAGGGTCCCTTGATGGAAATTGACGTTAAAGTCATCTTAACAGGGTACGGATAGATCCTCGTCTCCTCTCACTCTGAAGAGATTATGATTGAGAAATGGTGGAAACCTCGATGTGGGTATCTAGACTACTGTACTTAGTCATGGGTGCTGAATATATTTCCAGAAATCCAACTCGGAGATTAATTTATGGAGTTACTAATATCACACTATGTATAAAACTTCGTCTAGGACGAAAAGTAGATTGATAAAAATTAATACGTAAAATGTGCAGGGAAATAAAGAATAGAATATACTTCACCCCCATGTTATACATATGATTTTTCCGTCTCTTTTAAATAAAAAGTCATTTTCGAATAATTTATTGATGAAAGTAACAAAGATGTAGGTATACGCTAAGTATACGCAGTATAACTTATAGGCACGTTATTTTCACTCTTGCATCCTACATATTTTCTATTTGTGGTAGAGTAATAATTAAATGAACTAATGTCTTTCGCCATATTGGATCTGTCATCTTGAATTTTTCAATTTTGACAAAGAATCATAAAGTTCGACCACGAAAACCCTCAGATACCAATCTTAAATAGAATCAGATCATAATTTTTTATTTTTTTTATCGCTTGGAGCGCTCGAAACAATCATCATCTCCAACCCCGGAAAACCCCACACACCTTCCAATTTTGAATAGAATCGGATCATATTTACAAAACTCGTTCGCCATATGATCTTCCTCAACAAGTAAATACCCTGTATATATACCTATTATTAAAATTTTTAATGATTTTCTGGAGCGCCCATGGATGTGACGTGACAGCAATGTCAGGGATACCAGTAGACAAAACTAAAATCTCTAGATTATTAAAAAAGGATGCAGCTATGATCTGTTCGTTCCCTGTTAAGATGACTTCTACGTCAATTTCCATCAAGGGACCCTAGTTTGACGTAGTGATACACTTATATTTCAATGATTGCCAGGACCCTCGCAGTTACATTGGTTCGCATGTAGCACATATTTCAGATTGTAGCCACTATTGCGATGATTCAACAAGATATCGTATTTTCTGATAGTCATCGTGTCTCACGGTGTCTTGATTTTTGGGCATATTTTTGTAATCCGAGTATTCAACCACGTGCAGCCTTCAAAGCCCCACTCTTTCCTTCAGGATGCGCGACGACCCCTCGCTGAAGGCCGTCCTCAGCGACTACTTCCAGGAGAACTTCGAGATCGACGAGGACGAGCGCTACGAGAAGATCGACGTGCCCGACTTCCGGGACGGGCGGTCGGGCAGGTTCGTGCACGACTTCAACTCGAACACGACGGGCATTATAGACGCTTCGGGCGGCCGGTGCTTCGTCATGCCGCTGAACAGGGATAACGTGCTGCCGCCCAAGTCGATGCTCGACCTCGTGCAGAAAATGTGGGCAGGGTGAGTTGCTTCTAATGATAAAAGACATTGGCATACTTTCATCAACAGTCCATTACTATAAATATTCGAAAAACTGCCGTCCTCATCCGAGGAGAGAGAGTATTTTCAGAAAATTAATATATTCTTCACGTAAAACTATCAAACAAATGCTAAACTCGAACGCTAAACATGAATTGAACACTGCGAAGGGTGGAAATAACTGTGGAATCATAAGGTGTTATAAAGTGAAGGTCGACGTGCCGGTTCGGGCACGACTTGAACACGAACACGAAGGGCATCATCTACGCGTTGGGATAACGTGCTGCCGCCCAAGTCGATGCTCGACCTCGTGCACAATTCGTGGGAGTTGTGAGTTCCTTTTAAAGATAAAAGACTTCGCGATTCTTTCATCAACAGTCCATTACTATACATATTCGAAAAAAATGCTGCCCTCATCCGAGGACACTGGGACAAAACGGTTTCAAAATCAAAAGAGAGAGTATTTTCAGAAAATTAATTTATTCTCCACGTAAAACTATCATACCTATGCTAAACCCGAACGCTAAACATGAATTGAACACTGCAAACAGTGGAAATTACTTTGTGAAATCATAAAGTATTATAAAGTGAAGGTCGACGTGCCGGTTCAGGAACGACTTGAACACGAACACGAAGGGATTTTGTAACATTCTGTATGAAAATAATTGCACTATCACTATTTTTTTTTCTACAGGTACTACAAAGTTGACACTGATCTAGTGAGGAAGTCAATGCGAGTAGTTTTACCGCCTGTTGAAGACACCAAGACCATTGGTGTTTATATTGCTAGCGAATGCGAGGGATTCCCAATTTATAAGTTGGAAAAGTTCGTTGGAGGAGGTAAGCCATCAAACCATATCGATGTTTAAAACATTGTTTCATTAGGATCAAATGTGACATTTTGTTTCACAAGCTATATTTGCGTTTTGCGTGTCAAACAGAGTAACTTTCGATCCGAATGAAACATGCTATTTTTCATGCAATCGAAATAATTGATAGCTGATCAATCTATTTATACTAATATTATGAAGTATAAAGATTTGTCTGTTTGTTTGTCAGTTTGTTTGTATGTATTGAATAGGTTCCGAAACTACTGGACCGATTCGAAAAAATCTCTTACCATTAGGCGCCGATATTATCCCTGACGAACATAGGCTACTTTTTATTGCGGGAAAATGCTTCATTCCTACGGCAAAACCGGTGATAGGACAACGGGTAAAAGAATAATCCTTTCGTAATAATGTTTTTCACATAACTTCTAAACGGCTGAACCGATAGGGTTGAAATTTCATATGGATATTTCGATGACTTCCTCGATGATTTAAAAATACCATTGGACGCGGTAGGTGGCGCTGCTATCGGTACGCCAACTATTAAACGGCTTGACCGATTGGGTTGAAATTTTGTATATGTATTTCCATGGTTTCGCAAACTGAGGGAATGAAAATAGGTGTAAGTATATAATAGTAGCTATAGGTGAGCACGAAAATAAAAAAAAAAAAATTATGTACTGTAGATACGCACATAGCTCAGAACGACTGGAAAAAATGACTTATTTTTTTTAAATGGGTACCACTACCACTATTTTGAGCGAGGGGGTTGCCACGGAGGAAATTTCTCGTACGCTCATGAGGAAATACGGGGCAATACAGGGAAATAACTGGCAATGCCAGGAAATGTGAGGCAATGCCTGGAAATATTAGGCAATGTCGGGAAATACGAGGAAATATGGGGCAATGTCGGGAAATTCGAGGAAATATTTGGAAATACGAGGCAATGTCGGGAAATTTGGGTAATGCGAGGAAATTGCTGGAAATATTAGGCAATGCTAGGAAATATTGGGCAATGTCGGGAAATATGGGGAAATACGGGGAAATATCTGGAGGCAATACCAGGAAATAATCGTACTGGTGTGTGCGTTCGGAGATGTCGCTAAAGCCCAATTTGTTTTCGTCAGCTTCCGAGAACTCCCTGCTCTTCGCTCGGCTCTTCGGCTCGAGAACTGGCTTCAAAGGCTTCAAATCACTTGCTCCGTGTGTTGGCGTCTCGGTTGGCGTGTAACGTTCTCACAAGAGTCAAGAGTCTATCTGTCTCGCTATCTGTACTGTCTGTTATAATCGGTTATAATTATTGAGAACTGAAATCACTCGTAAAATGGTGATATACTGTACTGAAATTATCTCGGAAATTATTGTTTAGTGAGTGGTGTTCGGTACTACTTCAAGTGTTATACCTTCAAGGTAAGTAAAATACAAAATGATAAGTCATATCTTTTTGTCTACAGCGTGTCACTTCAAATGGTTTCGCTTTTTATCTCGGTTATATATTCGAAGTTATACTTGGACATACGATTCAAACCTAGATTCAAACCAAATTCGGAAAGCATTAGATAGGAACCATAATGTGAAAATTATTTCAGATACGTCATTTTGGACAGTGTCGTTCGTGGTCACCAGTTTTTCCGAATTGAAAAATTCAAATTAGTTTTTTTTTTATGTATATGTATAGTAGTGTTCGTTATGCTTTTGATCTCCGATGGTTCTTCAGGTTCTAGAAAAATACATCAACGGTTTCTAATACCACATCAAATTTAGTTGTAATTGCATAACTAATAACCAAAATAAAGAGAGGGAAAGCCGAGGGGAAAGCATTCGAAGTGAGACATGCTGAATAAATGAAATGTATCAATCTATTTTTTTCTCCGAGTAGATTTCACTGAATAACTTTATTAACACCTCGATTAACACGCTTATATTAGCTTGGTAAGTATATGTATATGTTTGTATTGGTTTGTTTGTTTGTAAACGGAAATCTTCGAACGTCACTTTGACACACTTCAAAACGTCCGATTGATTTGAAATTTCGCAGATTTTTGTTGGACAAAAAACAAAATGGCGGCTCCAAAATGGCGGACGAGTTTTGTATTTTTGATCCGATTCTATTCAAAATTGGTAGCTGGATGTTTCTAGGGATGTTTTTGGGGTCGGAGATTTTGATTCTTTGTCAAAATTTAGAAATTCAAGATGGCGGATCCAGTATGGCGGACGAGTTTTTTGAATTATGATCCAATTCTATTCAAAATGGGTATCTGGGGGTTTTCGGGGTCGGAGATTATGATTCTTTCGTCAAAATAGGAAATTCAAGATGGCGGATCCAATATGGCGGACGAGTTTTGTAATTTCAATTATGATCCGATTTTATTCAAAATAGGTATCTGGGGGTGTTCGAAGTTGGAGATTATGATTTTCGTGTCAAAATTGGAAATTCAAGATGGCGGATCCAATATGGCGGACGAGTTTTGTAAGTTAAATTATGATCCGATTTTATTCAAAATAGGTATCTGGAGGTGTTCGGAGTTGGAGATTATGATTCTCTTGTCAATATTGGAAATTCAAGATGGCGGATCCAATATGGCGGACGAGTTTTGTAATTATAATCCGATTCTATTCGAAATTAGTATCTGGGAGTTTTCGGGGTCGGAGATTATGATTATTTTGTCAAAATAGGAAATTCAAGATGGCGGATCCAATATGGCGGACGAGTTTTGTAATTATAATCCGATTCTATTCGAAATTGGTATCTGGGGGTTTTCGGAGTTGGAGATTATGATTCTCTTGTCAAAATTGGAAATTCAAGATGGCGGATCCAATATGGTGGACGAGTTTTGTAATTTTAATTATGATCCGATTTTATTCAAAATAGGTATCTGGAGGTGTTCGGAGTTGGAGATTATGATTCGCTTGTCAAAATTGGAAATTCAAGATGGCGGATCCAATATGGCGGACGAGTTTTGTAAATATGATCCGATTCTATTCGAAAACGGTATCTGGGGGTTTTCAGGGTCGGAGATTATGATTCTTACGTCAAAATTATATGAAAGAAACTGAAAAACACTCTTTCATAGATAGCCAAATTGAAAAGAAGTAGAAAATAAAATAATGAAGGTTTGTTGATAAATTCCTCGATAAATTCACAACACAGAATAATTCTGATTACGAAGGTGCTAAACGAGGTGCTAATATCTCGGCTAATATTGTTGTGTATTTATCAACACACTTTTATCATTTTATTTTCAACTTCTTTTTAGTTCGGCTATCTATAAAAGTGTGTTTCTCCCGAGGTTTCTCCAGTTTTTCAAACTACATTTCGCTCGACATTTCGTTATGAGTTGTATAAATCTCACCAATAATTATTATTGTCTCTTTTTTTCAGTATTATCAAAATGGCAGATACTGAAGAACATACATCATCGAATATTGATAATTATTTGAAATCTACCCTTCCAACATTTTTATATAATCTTATGATTATAACTGGATATAATAATGAGAAATGTCTAAGAAATTTTTCAGACAAAGATATTGAATCAATACAAGAGTTTGCAGTCAATAATCTCCGCGATATAATAGATCCATCAGAATATGCAAACTTTTATGGGCCATTCAAAAATAATATAAGTAAATTCGTTATTGCATCTGGTTACAGAAAAACGTTATTAGAAAGCATAAAAGATCTCAACATTTCCCAAGATAAAATAATCAGTGAAACACTACAAGGAAAAAGTCGAGGAAAAAGTCATGAAAAACAAAAACAACCAGTTGCTGTAGATCTTTCAAGGGAATGTGTAATCGATTTAAACAATGAAAATACAATAATTAAAAAAATACTATTGAACTATATTAGGAATAAGGCAAGAGAAGCCGAGAAGGAAAACTTGTGTATCGATGAAGATAAATTGAGGGTACAGTGTAAAATTAGTATCATTCCTCTAGAAACATTGTCATGTTCTGTATCCTGTTGTTTTTGTGAGCAAACCATTAGAATTTACAAAAAGAAAAAGGACGAAGGGAAAATGCCACGGTGGATCAATAGTAATTTCTATAATCACGTAAATAAACATTTCTTCGGAAGCGTTGACAGATCCAAAACTCAGAAGAATAATGGAAACGCGACGATTTTGAATTTTTTACATAAGTTTCAAAATCTCGACCAACATCGAGACCAACATACTTCAAGCGAGACTTCAAGCCAGCTAAAAAAAAAACAAGGCCACGGTTCGAATTCAGAGGAAAATTTTGAGTCAAATACACTGTCTGATTCGATATTTGATGCACGAGAAGAAAGCCACGTAAACCTCGACGTAAACTCTAATGACGATGTGATTGAAACGAGCTCGGAAACGAGTGATGAAATTCCGAATTTTTAGATCGTGGAACTGAAGAGGGCACCGGTAGTTCCACAATTTCTGTGATAAAGGTGCCAAACAAAAATTCTAAATGGACGACAAGAAGTCAAAGGAATAAAACGAAATTAGGGGTCATCCCCGAAAATCAAACTTTCATCACAGAATTCTTCCCTATTTTTGAAAAAATAAAAGAAATGTTCTCTGCCGATGACAATTTGAACACAATGATGAGCAATAGGGCAAATAAGGTAATGAATTTGAAGGGAGATATAAAAAATCAAAAGCTACTAGAATTATTTAAATCAACTGTCATCCGGAATGAATCAAATATTAATTCCAAACAGAATAGATATGATCAACACTTGAAAGAATTTTCTACATATTTATATTTGATTGGAGGAAACTTACTGTACCAAACTTTGTATTCTAATATGAACGGAGCTATGCCATCTATAACAACAGTACGAAGGCAAATTGAAAGAACGTCAAAAACTTTCAATGAGGGTGAATTCAGATTCAGAGAATTGAAACAATTTTTAGTATCCCGAAATCTTCCTCTTTGTGTCTGGATCAGTGAAGACGCTACAAAAATTATCGAACGTATTGATTACTCCCCTCGAAATAACAAGAATGTTGGATTTGTATTACCTATCAA